ATATATATGTGCTGACAAGAAATAATTTGTTAATCTTCATAGATGTGCCAATTACACTGTTAAACTGCTAACGTCAATCTTGCACAGTCAAACCTCATCATCTTGAACTTGCTGGGAGTGATGAATGATTGAGATATCCGAGTATTTGAAATATTAAGGGTAAAAAATGCTTAAAGAATAAGCGGTTGGAACTTCCAAATATTCATGGTATTTGAGACATCAGTGTTTAAGATACCGAAGTTCAACTGTATTCATTACATGATTTTATGGAATCTCAATTATTACATAAGAGATTACCAGTAGAAATGTACTGTACATGTACTGAAGTACTTATCAAGGGTAAGGTCTACAATTGTATGTACTCTAGGGGAGCACAGGAACAAGTGTGCAATTATGGTTATCATACTGACATTTATTAATGAAGTGAGAGTGAGATCAGGCAAAAAAGGGAATGGAGATGGAGAAAGGATGGGGGAAATGGAAGGGGAGAATGGAGGAAAAGAGGGAGGGTAAATATGCATGGAGAAGAGAGTGTGGGTGGACAGGAAAAGTGAAGAGGACGATGTACCAGGCCATATCAGGTTATAAACAATGACTAAACTAAGGATGAAACAGTTCGAGAGAATCTATACTTTATTCCAGGTTATAAACTTTTATGAAAAAGTGCTAAAAATTTATAAACATTTGGCTCTTTGACCTTGTTTTTTAGATGAAGACTGGGTTACCAATTTCACTTTTCCAACTTTCTTACACGTGTTAGGATAACATATATAACATGTATATAAGTAAACTCCACATGTCGAACATACACCCTTCCTGATAAACATGGTGTATGCCCCCCTCCCCCCTCCCTCCGGAAATGCAGCAACCTTTGGTGTATGCACATGATATAAAGTATTACATAATTCTGCCCTGGAATTCATTTATCAAAGTTGTGAAAACAGAGACGAAACATAGGGGCCTATAGTGTGTGAGTGACGTACCTCTGGTTAAAACGAAAGTCCCATGACCCCAGTCAAGGAAATTATTAAATTTTCAAATCACACAGAAACATAATATAATCGTATAAAACTATTTATTTAAACATGTTCATAAGAAAACTGACATTACTTACCCCTCACCCGTCATGTTTACATCGTAGCGACATCAATGGGATCTGCACTCTGTGTGTGTGTGTGTGTGTGTGAACATGTGCAATTAATGTACTACAACAAGGAAGTGCGATTTTTGTAGATATGGGTTTTTAATCGAATACACAACATATCTAATTGATTATCACAGCAATATTATTGGTCTGGCATATCATTTGGACTTTGTTTTGACTTTTCTTGATATAATCTTGTTCATCTATATATTATATATATACATGTATATACATCAGAGACATAAACATTTGTCCAACACAAGTACGTATGGTCGATTAAGATTATCTCTTATTTTAACCCAATGGCCATAACAACAAACCTAAAATACTTGTTATGGTTTGATTTTGATTTACGATTGTTAATTTCCAAGAAATATGCCATGATTCTCTCATGCAATTTTGTTTTACATGGCCGTAGGAACCGGGGGGGGGGGGGGGGACGCCCCCCCCCCCCAATAATTTTGCCGATATACAGAGGACTATAGAAAACATAGCTACTATATGCTTGTGCCCCCTCAATAACAACGTTTCATGACCTACCATTATGAAAACTAATTATAGAATTTTGCATTTTTTTTTTCTTAATCTAAATTTAAGGCGATGGAGGAAATCAAAAAAAGAAATGCAATGATTTTTAAGGATATTAATTTTATTTTGAGTTCATATATGTACCAGTTTGAAAACTACATCATACATCAAGTTGATACTTTTAGTTTGAGGTGGATGTCATTTCTAACAAGGGTGATTTGCAGTAACTGCAGAACTGTAGCGTTATGGTTTTATATTTTAGTTGGCAGTAACCAAGTGAGAAAAAGGACCCCCCCCCTTTTTTTTTTTAAAGAGTAGAGCTGTTTAATTACATTGTAATTTAACGTTGGTCAGGATTCTCCGTTTTACCCACATATCATATGTAGAGTTAGGTAAGATTTTTACCAAATAGCTCCAAGATTTTCTGCAAAAAAAATCGAAGAGTTTTTGAGCAATCAAGCCACAGCATTGATGAAATCTTCGTTAAGACTTTTTATGACAGGCATCAAAAGTACTGTCTTCCTACAACTTTTTATTAAAATAGAAAATGTGGTGTCACGTTATGACTTTTCATAACACCAACTCTTCTATTTTAACAAAAATTTGCGGGAGGACAGTACATGTATTTTCTCCAGGACCTTAAACAAAAATTTACACGAGTTTTAAGAAGAAAAAAAACTTACTCAGAGTGCATGGGGGAAATACACAAATTTTCACAAACACAAACAGCGATCGATGTGCAGAAAGTATTTTGATGAAATCGCCTATTAGGTGTGCCACATTTTTAGCGACGATATTAAGAAAATCGCTTGGGATAATATATCTTTCTTCACGGAAAAAGTCCAAATGATATAAGCTGTGGGTTTTATGATTCTGAGACCTACACAGATTCTCACTGATTAGCCTAATTAAAACAATTATTAATGCTTGTCAATACATACGTCATGCTTGCAATGTTGTCCTGTGTGTTATACTCAGTGACTTTATTATACAAAACTTCTATTAATGTGGTTAGATGCAAGTATATACTACCTGAACCCCCTTTTTATGAAAACGTAACATAATTTGTCTTTTTAATCATCGTGCTAACGAGCACCCGTCCCCAATGATAAATAAATAAATAAATAAACCTTTATCACAGAAGAGAATTAAAGTCACTTTAAGCAACAGTACTGTTGATTTTGTACATAGAAACCAAAATGATCGCTACTGTTTATAGTTTGATATTGTGCATGCTAATAATAGGAAGAGAGAGAGAGAGAAAGAGGGCGGAAATATGACCTAAATTCCCCCTACCCGCCAACCCCAGCCTAAGAGATGTGGGATATTTGTAGCATGCATCAATATTTTGTCACACTATATAGATGACACAGCCACCGCCAAATTCAATCTCACTGTATTATTACACTGTCTATCACTTTATGGTGCAGGGCAACATCGTCGTTTCATGTACATTCAGGCACGTAGCATCGTTTCTGAAAATGTAAGAAGACAGCCAGAAAAATAATTGAAGCTTACCTGAAAAATCTGTTATATTATGGTTCAATCTTCACCGTATCATCACACTATTGTATAATGTTTTATCTTCACTGTAACATCACACTATTGTATTGTGGATCTATCTTCACTGTATCATCACACAATTGTATTATGGTTCTATCTTCACTGAATCATCAAACTATTGTATAAGGTTCTATCTTCACTGTTTCATTACACTATTGTATATATGGTTCTATCATCATTGTATCATCACTCAATTGTATTATGGTTCTATCTTCACTGTATCACAACACTATCGCATTATGGTTCTATCGCCACTGTATCATCACATTATTGTAGTATGGTTCATAACACTATTTTTCTTTGGTTCTATCGTCACTGTATCATAACACTATCTTACTTTGGCTCTATCGTCACTGTATCATATCACTATTTTACTTTGGCTCTATCGTCACTGTATCATATCACTATTTTACTTTGGTTCTATCGTCACTGTATCATAACACTATCTTACTTTGGCTCTATCGTCACTGTATCATAACACTATCTTACTTTGGTTCTATCGTCAGTGTATCATAACACTATCTTACTTTGGCTCTATCGTCACTGTTTGTGTATTATAATTGGATTGTATTTATCATACTATCATCACACTATTGTATTGTGGCATTTACGACATCAGTTCATCATAAATTGTGCATTCGATATTCTGATATCGAAAAATACGTCTTTTAAAGTTTGAAAAATCCATTTATTTTCCAATATCAATAATTTATTCTGTAAGAGGAGGGGGGCACATAAAGAAAACATATGGATGGAGCGGGAATCGAACCCGGGACATGTGTATCACTAGTCAGGCCCAGGGGCTCGAGCTATCGCTGAGCTTCCATGCATGGTCCATATCTACGGTCCATATAGCCCGAACTTCTACAATGCAATCCTTTTAAAAAAAAAAAAAAATATCAAAACATGGTTTCTGATTAAAAAAAAAAAATTGATATGGAATTTTTGATATCAGAAAATTTGAGTTACATAAATAGAACTAACTTTAATCAATGTCCCTTTTGATGTTTCTCTCGTCTCCCAGAATTATATTCAGCAGTCAGTCTTTGTTAATGATCGTATAGGAAAATAAAATAGTTGAGTTTATAATTTTTATATACACCGATGTAAAGAAGTACACGTATATGCACATTTACAAAAGGAATATGACACATGTATTAAGTCTTTTAAAAACCTGAATCTAAATCCCTGAAATAAAAAAAGAAATAAAAAAAAAAGATAAAAAGAATCTGCATTCGTTTCTTGAACAAACTCTGAAACAGACTGCGAAAAACATGCAATGAATTCCTGAAAAAAGGGGGATTACTTTTGCTAAAACAATTTTTACAGTATAACAGAACAGAACATTTTACACGATTTGCGAGGTCAGGGGAGAATTACTTATTTTTATTAACCTGAACTTTTAAAAATTATTTTTAGCTATCAGAAGAAAGAATTTTCGTTATTTTGAAATCACGTTCATTTTCCGATAACAAATATATTTTATGATATCAGAAAATGATTTTCTGGTATAAAAAAAATCGCGAATTGTTGATTTTAAAGAAACATTTTCTGATATCAGAAAATACATTGAAATTAACATTAAATTGATATACATTTATACATAATAAATTAAAACAGTGTCTCATACATTTCTGATATGATTTTCTTATATAAAACCAATATTTTACTTAAGAAACACTAAACGCGACAGCTCATAGCCGAAAGGATGCTGAAACTGTAATGTCCGACTCATTCTCGAACAATCTGACCAGAGTCTTCTGGGTACGAGTTAACTCACCAACATCACATGACGGATTACTCATTAGCATAAACAAAAAAATACCAATTTAGTTTCAGTGAAAATACACATTGCAGATATGTCAGGTTGTACAATGACTTCGAAGGTTGGCTTGATTTTAATAGGGTTGATCTTCTGGGTAAGTATTTTGGGAGATACTATTTGGTATCATTGTACACAACCCTAAATACATTGCCATCTCTTAACTTTGGAAGTTTGGCGTAGAAACGGGTTTTTCTCGTCTTTGGGCTTGGCTCATTGTCCCAGGCTCTTATTCTTTTGTACTTGATAAAAAGACCTGGTATAAAAATATGTGATCACAGAAAGAAAATGCTCAGCTTCATTTTCATTTACTAGGGTTTGAATGCAGATGAATCATTGTCTCTACTGAACTAAACAGGTCCGGCACAATCTCTTGATTAAGCTATATAGCTTGATTTAGCTATATAGCTTTATTAAGCTATTCAGAATAGCTTGATTTAGCTATTTTATCACACTTTGATCTCAAATGTGTTATTTTCCAAGTATGCACCAAAAGTCGCACCTTGGTGCAGTGATGATATTCAAACTTGAACTCTTATGAAAATAATGCATGTAAAAATCACTCATCAAATTGCGTCTCCTTAAGAGACTTTGTACTCAAAGTTCTAAAAGTTTTGGGGCTATATAAAGCAATTGATACAGTTACTTCTTCAATGAAATTATAAAGGAGGCCAATTATGGTCAACAAGATAATTGATTGGTAATAATTCAGTACAATGAGAAGCAATCATACTTATCCATGCCTCAACGCACACAAGGTAGTGTACAGTTACCCAAACAATGGAAATTCATCTATCACTTAAAAGTATTCAAATGCTGCAATGTTAGAACTATCTTTGATTTGGGTTTTTGATTTGATAACCCATATTACGTATATGAATAGTCATATACTTGCGACTTTTTGTCTATTTTGTACAAATAACATTTTTGTGAAAACCTGCATATAAATAGCTTTATCAAGCTATTTTGAATAGCTTAATAAAGCTATATAGCTATTTCAAGCTATATAGCTTAATCAAGAGATTGTGCTGGACCTGCTAAACACAACCTGCTAAAATGAAACCGGGTGGAAATGTAAAGAAGATTTCCCCTGTTGACGTTTTGGTTGTGCAAAGGGAAACAACACAATTCCGACTTGTTCTACAGATTCACTTGCCCAAATTCATTCAAACTTGCCACAAAGCAATGAAAGCATGCGATAGCAAAGATTTGATGATGTCATTTATAAATCTTCTCAAAAACCATTTGCCTTGGGCAGAAAAGATAAAACATGTGAAAGCTTCTTAAATTGTAGATTCAAGTTTGTTTAAAATGTAGCCCCTTTGGTAGGATGGGGTCCATGTAGGAGGTAATGTTTCAATGATGAATCTGATCTTAATGGGGTTACTTTCTTCAGATCCTTGAACAGCGATCTACATGTACTTGCCCAGATCAAAGGATCTGATTTTGATCAGATTGCCAAATTTGTTCTTGGGAATATCATAAGTCTTCTTCTCAAGAACAGCTGGGCCATGTTTAGTGGCATTATTATGCAGGCTAGGTAGTGCAGATTTAGATTTGTTCAAATCATTGCCCTGGGGGTAGGATGGGACCCCAGTAGGGGAGCAACATCTTACATGGGAATATAAGAGAAAAAATGCTTAAAAATCTTATTCGCAAGAACCAACAGGGCCATGATCAGTGATATTAATATGCAAGCATCCTCAGGTAGTCCAGATTTAAATTTGTTTATAGATGATGGCTCCAGGGGTTGGGTGAGTAGGGGATCAAAAGTTTACATGGGAATATGTTAGGGAAAACAAATCAAAAAGATGTTTAAAAATTATTTCAAAAAGAGCAGGGCCTTGATTATAATCTTATCAATATACAAATATCCTTAGGTTTTGCAGATTCTGAATAAAGATTTTTTGTTCAAAGTTTTCTTTAGAAAAACTGCAGGGTAAAAGTGATTCAGGTAAGCATTGTAGCCAATGGGCTTCTTGTTATTTGTGTATACAGTAAGTATAGATAGTTTTCGATTGACACGATTTTAGCAAGAGTTATTTCCCATTGGTCGCTTTATTGGAGGTATACAAGCCAGAATTCCTTCATTATTCAACCAATTTAAACTTAATTTGTCATACTGGGCAATTGGGTGAAGATAACACAATTTTTCTTACAAACTTACATGTTAACACAAGCTTCCTTTAATTTGTAATTTTAGTATTTTAAAGATTTTTACCCTTATATTTCTTCCATAGTATACAAGTTTAAAATTGGTTGCTCAATGAGAAAAATTAGCTCATTGGACCTCCATTATGCAACCAATGGGAAACAGTTCTTGCTAAATTCAGGCCTGTCGAAAACTATCTATAATGATATAGCATCAGCTGGCAAACGGTTGGTCTAGTTTTTCTTGAGTGAATGCATTTTCTGATATTCTTTTTTAGAAAAGATTGAAATT